GCTCTGCTGAACTTCACTCCCTCGTACCCCCACTCAGAACATTCTCTGCAAGAACACGCTTAGCCACCTCAACAGCAGAAAATCACCCTTTCTTCCTCAATAGTCCATCAGTCAAGAGAAAATTTCATGCTGACAGTTTCTTCCCCAGAACCACTTCACTGTGGAACAAGCTTCCCCGTGAATGTTTCACCGCAAATTACAACCTCCAACGGTTTAAATCAAGGGTGAACAAATATCTGACCACGTAGTCATCACTGTAACCCAAAACATGTAAGTGGCTCTCACGAGCCTTGTTTTGAGGTGAATTCCGAAGTAAATAAAAAAAAATACCTCAATTTTTCATGGAGCTAAATATCTCTTACCGGCAACGGATGAGCAGGCAGACCCGATCCCCTGTATGCTTCTGGCGATGAAGAGAACGGCATAACTCTCTCCAAAGGCGAATACTGGCGTGGAGGAAATACAAGGCATGTTGGGAAAGCTTGTGTTTTTTGAACGAATAACAGTTTGATTACAAAACATAAGAAAGCCAAGCATCAAAACAACCTACTATAACTGGTCTTTCTTCCTTTTGCATGTAACGGTCTTGGATACTATTTCTTTCAAACAATTCAACATTCAAGGGGGTTGGGGTTTTCAGCATTGCATGTATCAAATATGTTACATAGTGTGTAATTGTGTATCAAGGGGAAAGTTGTATGTCTTAGGTAGAAATGTTTTTCATACTTACCTACTGTTGATACAAGGGTAATGGCAAAGCCAATGAACATGGGGATCCCATAGCCGACTCTGTAACATTACAGAAGAATAGTAAATATGCTATCACGTTTTTGTCGTTTTCCATATTAGTGTTACAAGTGACGACTTGAATTAGACTGAAATGAGGTTTCGTAACCATAATCTGAACGCAAGCGATATTTCTGTATAGTACTGTTGTTAGCCGTAGAAAAACTAATCGCAGAATAAAATTAGCTCGATTAAACACAAAGGTGTTAGTCTTAGAGAAATATTTACTACGTCATTACCATTAATAAACTGGAAATAAAATTTACAATCGTTTTTTGTTTTTATTTCATTTTGGAGTGGATCAATATATACGTACATGTATCTATCTAATAGTATCTTAATATCTATCTAATAGTATCTAGCTTTAGATAGATAGATGTGTACGCCTAAAACAGTTACTCAAGCAACTTGATATGATTTTGGAACTCTTTGGACGTCTAATCTTCACCGAGGTAGGTAGACAGATAGATGGATAGACAGATACACTGATTTAAATATATAGGCAAGTATATTTCAAGGAATACGAGCGGTACTGCTGGTAGGATAAAATACAACAATATGTTACAAATAGCTGGACTGTAGTAGCAAAGTACACAGAAGCACCGACACGAAAAGGGGTATCACAAAGAACGATATTGCTCTCAACTGATGTTGCCTACCTGTTTGTCATTGGACCCACAAATGGGTTGACTATAAGCTGGATGGTTGCCTTGGACGCGAATAGTATACCAACGGGTAAATTCTCATCTACTAAATCTTGATTTGTTGGCACCTCGTGGTATGTATCCTGGGGATTTTTTGTCGGGGATTTCTGTGTTGTTTGTGAGGAGGGATAACTGATGCCCGTAGGGGCCCAGTACTCTGTCGGCTGCCAGTACTCCGGGTTTTCCGTCGGTCGTTGTGAGTCCTGGGTGGTACGCTGAGTGGTTGTTGTTAAATGCTGTGGAGGTGGTGGATCCGTCTGGTTCGTTGCTGTTGCGCTTAGAGTTGGATCCGCAGGTAGCGTTGAGTTGCCGTTCACGTAATAAGGCAGTCGAGGGTGATTCAACTTGTAGATATAATCTGGGAGGATAGGTACTGCAGGACAGGGCAAAGGAGTGGACCTTAAAAATAATTTTGGACGAAATTTTCCCAATGAAATGCAGTACAGATTGCTCTTAAAGGCACTACGAAGAAAGAAGTATTTTGGATGAAGAAATCTGTCTGATGTTGACATTTACTGCAATCATTAGCAGATTTTCATCATCATTGCAATACAAAAAATGCTGAATGAAGAATCTAGTTATTTTGGGTATTATTAATAAGTAGCTAGAATTAGTATACACTGCGAAACAAGCAACCACTTGTCAGTAACATCGGATTTTGCCTCACAGATATTAGTATGCTGTTGGGTAGGATTGTTTCAACTTAAGCCATATTAATTTGAATATATGGATGACATCTTATGGGAACCCAAAAACTGATGCGAGCGCGTGAATGAAAAATGTTTGGAAAAACAAAACGTTGGCTATAAAATCTACCGATGTCAAATAAGCATGGCGTGCTTCGTTTAAAAAAGACCAAAGATATGCATTGAAAATCAACTATTACTGCCCAGAAATTCAATTGGATGCCTTTAATGCAAATGTGTGAGGATCCTAGAATCATTTTTCTAATCGTCATTGGCCAGAAATATGAGATTGAAATTATATGATTTTATGATAACTATAAATCATATGATTTTGAATGATCTCTTTAAACGTGTTTTGAATTCATTGCTAACAAATTGCAAACGGAATATATTACGTATGTGTGTGTATATGTTTTGCACCTTACAGTAAAAAAATGCCATCAAAGATTTCCGTTAGGTTTCGCACGTGTCACTGCCAAATCGAATGGACTTATATGACTACATGACAAATTTAAAATGTTCGACCAAACCGTTCGAATTCACCACAAAAGTTAAGAATTACTCGGTCGGTTAAAAGTAAAACCATATTTTAATCAATCTAAAGATTCTTTTGAAGCGTTTGAAAAATCTGAAAGAGGTATTGTGGAACATGTTTGTACTTTTCTTTTTAGTACTTAAAAGACTAAATAGTGTTTCCCTATCTACAACTGTTCTAAGCATCCTGTCTAACAGGAGTGTTTCCTTACCTACAACTGTTATAAGCATCCTGTCTAACAGGAGTGTTTCCTTACCTACAACTGTTCTAAGCATCCTGTCTAACAGGAGTGTTTCCTTACCTACAACTGTTCTAAGCATCCTGTCTAACAGGAGTTTTTCCTTACCTACAACTGTTATAAGCATCCTGTCTAACAGGAGTGCGATGAAGACAATGATGAGCACCAGCACGCGGGAGTTCCGGCACTCCTCCAGGAAAGAGTCCCATTTTTTTCTGAAGCCCATCACGCTCTCCGTGTGACCCCAACCCACAGTCTCTTCAACAGGCTCGGGTAGTTATCTCAGCAAGATCTGTAAGAGGAAAAAGAAGAAGACATTCCGTCAGGTATCTGTAACACAAAGCCGTATAACACTAGTAGAACTCCCCAAACCATGGTCAGGAGTAGGTCGCGAGTACGGTCGGCTGGTGTTCGGCAAGATCGGCTACTATTCGGCTGAGCCAGCCGAATGTTTCTAAACATTTAAAGCATTCGGATGTGGATGGATAGTTCGGCTATGGTTGACATATATATGCGAGCAGGTCGGGGCATTGTTGGCAGTCAAACTTGAGTCAAGTTTAACTAAAATCCGATTCGATTTTGCATCGAAAGAAAGACGTGGCCTAAATATGGAAAGACTATCCCGAACTTCAGCCACCATTGATAGTGTTCGGAGGGTGGTTCTGAATGTGTGACAAGAGCTTGAACGGCAATGTCATTGATGTCCATGTGCTAGAGCCATCGGCGCCGGCAAGCTTTTGCCTTATGAAGGCATCGCCTTTGCTTTGATACTAAAATACAGCTAGCATAAACTACGTCGTTAACGAAAACTCATCAATTGCAGAACATGTAGTTGTTTTAGAAAAAAAGTTTAACTCTTTCAATGAAAACACTGAAAAGACATTGGTCGACGCCGTCAAGCTTTTGCTTGTAGAGGCTTAGATGCTAAAATACAGTTACCCTTAGCCTAGTAAGTACCAGCATTCTACCATTCAGCTCATCTGCTGAGCGAATAATGGCTGAAGAAAAACTCAACTCCTTTCACGAAAACACCTAACGGAAATCTCTAAATTCACCAAATTGTTCGTAGAAAATCTATTAAGAGGTTTAATTTTCTGGATCCCCTCTCCCTCCCCATGTTTACCCGGGGTGGAAAATGTGCTGTGAAGTGATAAGGACTTATAGCAGCGTGACGTCCGCGGGATGAAGATGAGATAAATAGCCATAAACTTTAACAAATTGATTAACAGTGTTTTTCATGGAAGTTAACTTGCAAAGAATAATTCTGCATTGGCGAGACAGAACGCTGCTTGGGACCTAGGTTCCCTCGCTGACGTCACATTTCCGTAAAGTCTCGCGTAATAAGGTCACGTGTCTGTAACTCTCGCGGGATTACGTTTGGAAGTGATCGGGCGTTAAATATCCTGATGAAGGCCACAGTGGTCGTTAAAAAATTGATCAGTGTGTACCTTTGGGCTCAAATATCTATATTTTTTCTGTGTTTTGCTTTAAATAGTTGGATTTCGATATGGTCCTATTATTTCCTCACTAAAGTTACAAAGGTGACACACTTTTTCATAACTGCGTGCTAAAAAATAAGTTTGTTTATGTAGCTATCATTTAATATATTGCTAATCACCACCTTGCGTAAGCGTAAACACACCAGTTTTGTGCATTTAGCACAATACCAGACTTGTAGGTCTGAAATGCCAAACCGTACTACTATGTATAATGCAGAATTCTCAGAAATATCCTAGCATATCCAAGTATGCTATAGTACTACGTTTAATGTACATTTGTCAGAAATATCAAAGTATACATGACTTTTGCCTGACGAAAGTAAGTATCCTATAGTTCTTGAACCAACGGTATAACAACATACATTGTGTACAATAAATTGATATTTCTTTCTATTCAATGCCGTGGATATAGAACCGCATGTAGAACATAGTACATGTAACGTTATGTGTAATTGGTGTACTGTACTTTTGTGCACTCTAACAAAGTAACAGGTTTGTTAAAGAAATAGACGCAAGCCTTGTCATGTATGGAGTCCCTATTAGTAACATGAGACAGAAGACTGCCACATGGTGACAGTTATATATGACATCCAGCTGCTCTATGACAGATGAAAAATGGTAAATTCTCGTCTTACCTACCACTAAATACGAAGTGAACGTCATTCATGATATACTGTTTTGCATGTGACAAGGGGTGTCCGCTTCTCGGTAGCGCTACAAGCAAGAATTAGGACATCTCATACCTCCAGTGTTAGTTGGTGGGAGGGGCATATTAGGCAATCTGTGACAGTGGCTTCATAATTACGCAATCTAATGTTGAGTTAAAAATCGATGAGGAACAATTCAGTAGCCTTTAGCTTTCCTTCTAGTTTCTTTAAAAGCATCCATAGTACACATAAGTACCTACCTCCTACCAGACCCTGACCTATGCCTACTTCCCCAAATAACCACCGTAACTGTCCCGTCTGTTCTCCCCTTAACAATACCCTCCCATGTATCCGTCATTTGTAACACAAGACAAGTGGCACCATTACTCCTTAATGATGAAAGCTCTCAGAACCGCATCTATTATTTCCGAGCTAAGCTTCGCAACCTTTCCGTGGCTGTGACTGATGGGTTTGATTAATTCATATCATCGCAAATGTCCAGCGACAAATTTTCTCCTTTGAGAGGCTGACATCTTTGCAACGTGACAAATTGGGACTAAAATGTCAATGGTCTCTAGATCTTATAGAAGATTTAGAGTATGACGCTATATGAAGGATGAATAGTATATATCTTTTCTATGTGAAGACCCATATCGTCTTAGCTGAGCTGACATTTCTTGCAGTGTGTCCTATTCTTTTGACAGATAATAAGAATATTAATAAACAATTCACAGCAGGATTTATTCATAAACTAAAGGATTAATAGGCTGTCATGTAGATGTAACTCGATACAACGCTAGCGCTGGTCAATCATAAAAAAATGTATTCCAAGAAAGTATTATGCAGCATTCACCTATTAAAGATGTATAGGGTCCTAATCTGTATAGCCGGTATAACCGCCCGTCGGCGTAACACACCAGCTTCTGTATCTGTATAGCCGGTATAACCGCCCTTCGGCGTAATACACCAGCTTCTGTATCTGTATAGCCGGTATAACCGCCCTTTGGCATAACACACCAGCTTCTGTATCTGTATAGCCGGTATAACCGCCCTTCAGTGTAACACACCAGCTTCTGTATCTGTATAGCCGGTATAACCGTCCTTCGGCATTACACACCAGCTTTGCAGGCACACGGCGCGGCAGCAGCTTGCTTATCACACCGAACGACTTCTTACACTCAATCTTTGCACATTTAATTGCAGGAGTTGTTTAAAGCTTTCTAGTGATGATTCCCCAACTGTGCTTGGTGGCAACGAGTTCCAGTCTACGATAGTTCTTGGGAAATAATGTAAAGATAAATGTACGATATTAGGTAGAATTTACAATATGCATCTGTAACAGAAAGGGTATTTGTAAATTATGGATTTCTACTTCTATGCGAAAAGCTATATTTTATAATAGATTACTGGTTGGTTGATTACGTTTAAGTTTTAGCGAGTAGTACACGAGATTTGAGAGTATTCCCAACTGAATAATCTTTTATAATGAATTTTGTAATTGAAACACAATAACAATGATCACGTTGTCAACCTTTACAAACATGTGTGGGCATGCCTGTGCATTTCGATGAATTTAGCGACATAAATTCGATTTAACGCTACATCAAATACGTCAGAAATAATTTGATTTACGCAAAATGGCATACTAATGAGAGCATGACCATATTCCTTAATCTGAGATGTTGAGCATCTCTGATGGAATTGATCCAAGTTTTTACATTAATCAAGATTTTGATCCCAAATGCATATTATTTAGAAACTTTATTTATTTGCAAAATCATGCCCGAAGGCTAATTGCTTTTACAATCAAGTATAATACTCATTGCAATACATTAACAGGAAACAGGTAACAACTGTCTGGAAACAAACTTCTACTTCTACTACTACGCTAGCTATTATGGGGTTGACTTCTTCGTTGAAGGCAGTGGATAATGAATAGTCCCACATTCTGCATGCATAATTAGTGGGTTTTGTGATCTTATTAACTTCTTGTAATACCCCAAAACAACGTCGGAAACATGTAACTGTGACGCATCCGATCTGTACTCTTCAAACAGAGGTTTAGGCTTATTTTTTAGTGGTATCTTTTTTTCAATAGTAAATTGATACTACCCTGCCAATTTGATACTGGTCTGGTTTTGTTTATACTGTGTAGCCAATTTGATACTGGTTTGGTTTTGTTTATACTGTGTAGCCAATTTGATACTGGTTTGGTTTTGTTTATACTGTGTAGCCAATTTGATACTGGTTTGGTTTTGTTTATACTGTGCAGCCAATTTGATACTGGTTTGGTTTTGTTTATACTGTGTAGCCAATTTGATATTGTCTTTCAGCCACCAAAGATGTGGACTATACGATATGTTCATAGATTATCTTTTACGATACAGAGAATGCTCTGGCTTAAACAAAAATAAATATTCTGAACAGTCCGGTGAACACATGTATGCCAAGGTAGCCTCCCATATCTTTGGTAAATTCCCTTAGTTCCATGGACGTTCTGTAGATTATAGTATTGTTTTTTTTATTCCTATTATTACTAATTTGTTTGACATACTTTAATATTTCAGTTTAGTTCAGTAGCTGGACTAAAGATTATAGACAGATCGCTGTTAGTATGCGCTGAGAAAAAAGTCGACTTCACATTTGAACTGCTGGTAACTGTTTCCTTTGGACGTTTGTTTCATAGTCCTACATTTGTGGAAGAAAAGTTCCCCCCCCATGTTTGAGTGAGAGAGCCAGAAATCACCAGAGTATTCCTGTGCTGGGATTTCGACTGGGAGACCAAACCCTTTATGAATTTGGTCTCACGAACACTAGCCGAAACCCCCGAAACCGTCATTACAGTACTTCGGCAGCAAGGTCGGTTGGTTCGGCCGGTGTTCGAAAAGGTCGGCTACTATTTTACTATGCCAGTGGAATGTTTCAAAAGGTTGAGAACATCTAGTTTCTATTAATAAACCCCCTAATAGCATGACAAGAATAGTTTAATAGAATAGAATAGAATAGATTCGAATAGCAGTTACTTTGTTCCTATTGCCTGGTCACATATTGTATATCTACTTTTTACCCTGTATGTATCCCAACGTTATTAGGTTTAAGTAGAGATAGTAGGTTCGATAAGTATATCGTACACGTAGAAGTTGTTA